CTTTAGTTCGAGGACCAGTGCATTCCTCTCTGCCTCCCACATGACTATGTCGCATTCGCCCTTTTCCATATTCTCGAGGTTGATGGTTTCAGCGTGCCCGGCCCTGAAGAATGCCTCATCCACAGGTTCCCGTTCCTCTTCCAAGTCCGACAGCGTCCACCCTTCTGAATCAAACACATCACTCTGGTCGTCGAATCCGGAGCTTTCCTCTCTATCTTGGTCGTGGCGTCGATCTGTGTCGCTGCTCTCCCTCTCCCCGGCCAGCACTACTATCCATCCGTTGCAGTTCATGTCTCCCACCTCGAGCTCTTCTCCAGGGTAAGCTACCGCGGCCCCTCCGGTGCTATGTCTGGTGCGGCGACTGTTTGGCTTCATCATCCTAACCTTGCCTATGTCGTCGCCGTCGACCAGGATCACGCGCAGGTCCTGTATGTGTTTCGCCCGGGGTCCGAAGACCTCCCCCATTGCCTCTCGGCCTGGATTATTCATAACTATGCATCTTTTCCATCTGGGCTCCTCACGACTGATGTACGGTGCCCCATCCTCGGCAGCCGCAGCAGCATAGTTCCTCACCAGCGTCTGATCTTCTCGATCCGTAGCATCGTCGACGTGCTCGTCGTCTCCCTCCATGTCTATCACCCAATACGAGTTTCCTCCGTTCATTCTTCTCTTGGCTATCTTCAGCAGCTTCTCTAGTGATCCCCCGGTCTCGTCACCTCTAATCGTTCCCTTTTCCAGCTGTGCCAAGGAGTCCACGTCCAGTGTCACCATACCACTACTATATCCGAGATATTCTCCCTCGTGTTCTTCACATGCCATCGACACCGAATCACCCTCTTCCTCGCCGCAGATGCTTACCACGTCCTCTATCACCTTGATCATTTCGCGTATCGCCTTACGCCCCTGCTCTCGTTGCACGTCCATTTTCGTGTCCGATGTCCTCACCATGTGCGACATTAACTCATGATCCCTTGGCATATGATCGCATGCTAGCATGTCCGCCGCGATCGCGTTCATCATACATGGAGTGATCATTCCTATGTAACACGACGCGTCCACCCCGTCATTCATACCCAGCATGCATCCATCACTCCGTACTATCCACATGTCCCAGGCAAGCGCCATTCGAACAATGGTCTCGTCGGCCAATCGACTTTTGCCGCCTATCCAGATGGTCGTAGCCACTATTCCTCTGCTGTTGGCGTCGGTGATAACCTTTTCTATATTACCAAACACTCTATCTCGAGCCTCTCGCGTACTATCTATACCTTCCTCACGTCTCCAACCGGATGCCTTTCGATCAACTTCTATGCTCATGCCTTCGCTAGACGCATCGATAGCGATGACCACATCCGTCACATCCTCTCCTATCACACATCCTTCCCCCGATATCCAAGATACGTTCTCACCTCCGTTATCCCCTATTTCTTCTATTCCGACCCCCATGACCTGCACTTTAGGCTGTTCGCCCAACTCCCTCATTATTTCCCCAATGATGTTGTCGGACGGCGTTCGCGCTATTCCAGCTGTGCTGCACAATTGATGGATTGATGGTTTTCGCAACCTCCTCAGTATCTCCCATCCTGGATGCCGGTGCGGCAGGTTCTGCTGGTCCTCCTCTATCCCTGATTCGTCGGTCTTCTCCTCCGTCGGGGATGTACCAGAACTCCGTGATGATGTCCCTGGGCACAACGAATCGGTATCTCCCTCTATTGCGCATCATCTCCGCCTGTATGCACGAGTCATATTCAATGGATTCTAAGACCTCCCCAGTATTGGCGCTCCGAGTGACCCTCCACCAGAGCTCGAGCCGTCTTTTGTCCCTTCCGCCATAGAATCGGTAGGATGTGGCGCGATTGTTTCTTACTGCCCACACTCGGCCACCCTCAGGCATTCCCGATGGAGAATCCCATCGGTATTCCTGCGGTGAGAAGTCCTGTCCATGGTCGGTGATTTTCTCCATCCATTCACGAACTCCAATTTCTGCGGGACGCGGTCCTATTCCCTCTTGCCCTCGAGCGGCAGAGGGAGGCCTCTCTCCTCTGATGATCCTCTCTTTGTCTCCCTCTATATAGCGCAGTCGCTGTCCCGGACTCATCCTATTCCACTCTGCTGACGAAATGGAGTTGGGTTTGTGAGATCTCGCGTACGGCCGTTCTATCCTGGGCATGTCCTGTTCGTAGTCTAAACCCACCCCCCGTATACCCGTCGCCTTCTCTCCCCGCGCCCGCTCCTTGGCTTCATCATCTATCTCTCCCTCAGGCTCCCCCTTTTCCCAGAACGTAGTGCACCCCGTCCATTTCTTGGTGATCTTCTTCTTGCCCTTCATTCTATCCTCATCCAGCACCTCCGATGTACCATCGGCGTACACTATCCACGTTCGCCTCCTTGGACCCAGCTCTCTATCCCCGGGGCCACCTGTACCTTTGACCTCCTCGCCCGGGGTACACAGCTCCTTTCGGGGTAAGATGTGATGAAGCGTCCACGAATGGTCTATCTCATCATGTTCCCAGAAATCCCCGTTTTGAAGATGCTGATCGTCGCACTTAATTTGTCTCATCACATCGGCTCGTACCCTTCTCTCCTCTGCGAAGATTTCCTCCGTCTCCTCTCCTTGCTGCCCCTCTCGCTCCAGTTCCAATCTGGCCAGGGCATCAGCTCGAGTCGCTGTCATGATTCTCGACTTCCTATCAGCCACAGCTTGCATCGGGAAGTAGTTGGGCATCTCCTCGTCAAGTACTATCCTCTTCACGCGGTGTATCGACGGTACCGTCCATCCGTGATACAGGTGCGCCAGCTCAACTACTATATAGTCTCCGCTCGGAACACCCCCTGGTTGGAGCGCGTAACCTAGGAACAATCCGGGTGATGTCGGAGCGTCGAACTTTGCCTTGGATGCCATGGCATACGCTTGCTCTTCCTCGGCGTCGTGATCTACATATTCTTCCCCATCCCCACCGTTGTCTGCACACGCCGCCTGGCATAAGCCATCCGCTAATGTCGCAAAGTGCTCATCCAATCTGAAGCCCAGCCTCATCAACTTCCACTTGTCTTCCACAGATGCCTTTTTACCCGCTGCCAGGGTATATCCCACCGCTATCACTCTATCCTCCGGCGCCAAGGCATCTTCGGTAGCATGCCAAACTCTTGGATTGAACTTTAGCCCACTATCAACCTTCCGAGTCCTTCCCCATATCCATTTTCCCGGAAGCACCTCTTTCTTTATCCCGGCGGCGTCGCCACTCTCATTCTCACACTGTTCCTCTTCTGTCCAGATCATAGCTTCACCCGCCCTCTCGCTTACCGGCACAACAAAGTTGTACGTCTGGCTCTCGTTAAACTTGTCCTTGTGAGGCCCCATCCTGGTTCCGACAGACACAATCACCGTTGTAAAAGTAGCTTCTGGGAAACATTTTGCTATCAGCTCGCAGCACACCATGGCTATCCCCGGATATTCTTTGGCACTATTCGTAATGCCAACCTTTCCTCCGTACGCATACAGCCCCAGGACTATGAACCCTCTACCGGTGGCCATGCTCCGCGAATTCTTCGCTATTCCTTTTTCTATCGAAGTGAACTTCAGGATGATGTCCTTTGCATGCTGCACATCAAAGTCCTGCGTCATGACCATATCGAGCGCACGTCTATCGATCTCTCTCAGCTCTTCCTCCCTTTGCGAGCGTTGTTCTTTGGTTTCCTTCGTTTCAGAGGGCAAGGCCATGCTCGAAACATCTTCATCAGCTCCGAGAATCTCAAGAGCGTCATTTTCAGGATCCCCCCGTTCGAGCAGGGCCGCGTCCTCTTTGCCAGCTTTTCTAGGCTTTTCGGCAATGGGGAGGTAGTTAACAAGTGCCCCGAAAGGAATCAGTTTCACTTTGTCTTGCTCGTTGCCATGTCTTTTCCCGTACGGGCTTACCCCGTCCACTTGTTGTACGTTACTATGGAAGCAGAACGTCTGCACAGCGTACGGCCACCACTTCGGTTCTAGTCCTGCTTGTCTCAGCAATACTCTGCCACCGTAGATTACTTCTTTGACCTTGAGCTCCGCTATGCTATTCGTTCGGGGTAATCCGGGTGTAGAAGTCGCCCTGCAAGTTCCTATGACGTCGCAGGCTTTTGAAAATTCACCGGCTCCGTCTGCGTATAAATGCACTACCATATCTGGGCCTCGGAACTCATTGATAGCTCGCACAAACTCATCCGTTCCCCTGGACTTTACGGGCGTGCAGTGTATCCATTGTGTCTTGAAGTCGAACATCACGATTGCATTATTTTCTCCGCGGATTCCCTTGTCTTTGTGGCTGCGAAGAACTATCGTGTCAGCAGTGACCCTCTCCCCGAACTTCTCGGCACCCTTGTTGGTGATGCCTTCGCCCCTGTTGAAGGGAACGTTTATTGCTTTGCCTTGTCGACAGGCAACGCAGTGCATGTTCTTTGGGAGATGCGTGAGCAAATGTTCTGCCGATTTTGCATACTCCGGTGAGTATCTTGCTCTCCGAATGCTCACAGCTTTGCTCGACCCTATCCCTTCGCCAATTCTATCCGCAACTCGAACTTGATCTGCAGGTCCGACTTCTGCCTCTGTTTCTTCCACCTCTCCCACGCCACCGGCGCTATCATCCTTCTGAGGCTCTCCCACTCCTCTTCTGGCCTGTTCTTCGTCGGCTATTCCGGGCAAATCTATATCGACATCCCATTGGCCTTCGTTTTTGGTGCCTTCTTCTTCGCCGGGTACAGCGACGACTTGCTCCGCGATCCTTAGGTCATCATTCGTATTCTTCTTCATTCCGCGGACGAGCTGAAACTCCGCATCCGTCATATTGCGTGCGCTTTGTCCCGCGTCAATCTGCTCAGGACTTAAAGCTCTTTCACAAAACCCGCATACCCCGGATGAATCAGCCTTACACGCGGCGCAGTAGAACGTCGTTCTCAGTCGACCATCACTATCATTTTGTTCTATCGTTGTCTCCCTATCCCTCTCGTCTATCCCCGTTTTGGCCACTGATGATACTCGGCGGTGCTTACGCATAGTCTCCTTAATGGCTCGAATCCCGGTGCCCACTCCGCCCAATTCTGCGATTCGCTCATCTCGCCCTTGCTTCTATCACTGCTATCATTCGTCGCTCCAGTCCCTGGTCCTCTAAGATTGTCCGCCCATCCTATCAACTCTGCGTCAGTCGCTATCGTTGTCGGCTTTTTCCTAGAGTGTCCCATCGGTCCCTGATCAAAACTGAACAGCTTCGTACCTAGGATGGCACTCGTCCTATCCCATTCTTCTGTCGCCCACAATGATGCGTATCCCCCTTCTGGCGTATCATCCCAATACGTCTCGGGATCCTGGGGCTGCTCAATGAGACACATCGTTGGGGCTCTCAATCGTCGGTGACGTGCCTTTCCTATCGCCACAAGCATGCACACGCGCAGTATGATGATATCGTCGTCCCGGCATTCCTGCTTCTGTGCCCAACTGATAAATGAGTATCCCCACCTCTCCGGTCCGTTCCTCGACCTAAGCGGAATTGGACCAGGCCTTCTGTATCTCATCACTGACCTCGTTCTGCAAGGCGGTCCGGCTAGCCAGCAAAAAACCAAATTGGTCGTGGCCAACTTCACTAGCCACCACCATGTATCAGATCGCAGCACGTTCTCCTCCATATCGATATCTATCACGCTCATTCCCAGTTCGCTTGCTATGTCATCAAACTTTCCCCTTGACTTTCCACAACAAATGTGCACAATAACCCTTCTGCTCCCTTCAATCGCTTTCCTTATCTTCATGATTTCAGGTCTCGTTTCCCCCTGGGGCTTATGTGCCTTTCCGCCGTCAAGTACCTCTTGAGGAGCAAGTGGCCATAAACACCTTGCTATCTCGACTAGCGTCTCTGCCTCCCCACCGGTACCGATATTCTTGTCCAGCATCATCGTCAGGTCATCTAGCCCCGCGTCTTCATCCGCAGCCATTCTATTCAAGATATGTTTTCTCACCTTCGCGCTATCGCTCTGCACCGCTTCTCCTGCATCCGCTCCTTCGAATGTGAGCCCTTCTATCTTGAACATGGTCTTGCCTGTCCATAAGTCCTCTTCCGCGTCTCTATTCTCTCCCTCATTGTACTTGTCCACCCAGTCTATCCATTCCGCCACGGTTTTGCCATCTTTGTACACACGTTTGGATCTACATCTCTCGGCGAATCGCGGCACAAGTGCATGTATCTCTGGGAATTTCAGTGTTTCAAACCATGGATCGCAAGTCTTCGTTCTTGGTTTGTTATGGAAACACACCGCTTTATTACCCGTTAACATCCACTTGTCTAGTAGCCTCCCGTCGTCGTTGGTGGCCTTTCCTATCGGTTCCTCCTCAGTGTCCCTATCCGTGTCCGAGTCCACGCTTTTGGGGCTACATTCATCCTGTTTCCCTTCAAGTCTCCTCGGACTGGAGTTTCCTCGCACGGGCAGTTCAATCGCAAGAGGCGCTGGCATAGCAGGATAGATGTGATAGTCATTACGCTCACTTTCGTTAACAACCGTTGACATTCTATCCACCATGTATGGGATATCCCCAATGACTTTTAGCACTATCAAGCTCGAATCAGGCTTGACGAACACGGGGTTTGCACCCGCCAGCCAATGAAATGAATATCCCATTTTCATGCATCTCCTCCCCATTGATAGAACAGCGGGAGTACTCTCGAGCATTCTAATCCTCATCGTCTCAGGCATCCCCTGTATATCCATGCATATCTCTTGCTTTGACGTGGTGTTGCCGTTGGCAGTGTTGAACCTCACCTTCTTCGCCTCAATGGCCATATCTTTTTCATCCTGGGTGAGGTCTGTTTCTGCTATTAGATCCATAGCGCACCCCGAGTCTATCATCCATCGTCTCATTACCGGGGGCAAGCAATGTTGTGCAGATGCCGCCGGTTGACTAACCTCTCGACTATCCACGCGGAATCTCTCGTCGACTATACCTATTCTCCTGCATTCCTCCACTATCCTATCAGCCAGTCTTGACGCATCCCTACCTTCCTCGCCTTGCTCCCCGGCAAGTATGTCCAGCACGACCTCTTCGGCTAGGGATATTCCACGTAGCCTTGCCTTTGCCTCTTCAATCACGGGATATCGTTTCACATCATGTACATACCCCTTCTTGTGTACATTTTTGCATTTTCGTACCATCTTGTCGGCTGTGTGTCCTTTCCAATAGCATATATCCAGTCCTGCTATCCCCGTCTCTTCGGAGCCCAACCCCTTGACTCGCCTATTACCCTTCCTCACTCGCTCCCTGCCTGTCGTTGTTACCAGTATTCCCCTAAGCGTGCCTTCGGCGTTATCATCCCCTTGTCGTACCACAGGCATGGCCGCATATACCTGACTATCATCGTTGGCCTGTGGGTTTCGGCCCGCCCCTAGCGAAAACTCGGCCCTTCACCATCAGCATGTGGACTGGATGGCCTCGTCTCCTTCTGTTCTATCTCTACTGTCTCAAATGCCTCCCTAATGCTATTCGGGATAGCCTCATGGAGCATTTTACACTTGTCGTTTCTACAGCTGCCATACCGAAAATGCTCAAAGCAGTATCCCGCCTTCTTGAGGACCTCTTCCGCCTGACTATACAGATAGATATCGTGCGAATGCTTGCAGTCCGCCGCAGTCATCGGGCACGTTCCACGCGTATAGGGGTAGCAGACCCCTCTCTTTCCAAACGGTGACTTGGATCCATATCTATTCTTCGGGTCATCGGCTCTCCCCGCCTGCGAAAGTCCGTCCCTGCCTCTTCCCACAGATATCCCTCTTCCGCAGCTATTTCCCCCTGCGGGCGATGAACTCCTCGGTCTATCATCAGCGTATGCGCTTCTTCTATTGACCGGTGCTCTATACGATCCCTGCTGAGCCGGCATCGCAGCGTACCCACTCGTGAATGCCTGTCGGCTCACCCGCATTGAGGCCTCGTCTATGTTCTTGTCCGCTCTCCACATATCCAGTCTATCCTTGATTCTCTTTCGCAGCCAGGTATGTGTCTTGGCCTCGTCCGGAAGCAATCTCCATGCCTCAATATCGTGGTTCAGCACCTGAACTCTCTGCACTTTCGAATGCAACATCCATCCCAGCTGTTGCTCGCTCCAGGTATTGCCTTTCAGCCCTATAAGGTTCGTGTGCGCCAGATCCCACCTAGTCATGAACTCCTCCAGTGCCTCCTCTTCAGGCTTCCCCGGGAAGGTCATCACCTTCGTGCTACTCAGGCCATCGTATAGCACCTGACTCTCTTTAGCAATCGGGATCTCAACATGCTTTACTATCAGCGTAAGCAATCTCATGGCCGTCATCGGCTTTCCATCTCCCACTTGCTGAGTCTTGTACATCTCCATTTTCACCTTCGCCGACAATGACTCTGACTTTATTGCTCTCTTCAATCCGCTAAAAAGCTGGTTCTCTAACGCAGGGTACTTGAGTTCCATGTCTATCATCGCTTCGCTCCTTTCGCGTACCCTTAATACCTGCGTGTATGCGTAGTCCCCATCATATAGATACGCAGCCTTCGCAGTATGCGCAACATCGCCTAGCCACAGTCCTACTTCCCCGGATGATGGCTCCTTCGCTATCGATATCTCGTTGCATTTCTCCATCCCTCTGGTGTCCTTGAACGTGCTGTACCCTCCGCCTACCGGATTCCTGAACCTGGCATCGTCCCCTTCACGATCGCGTCCACTCTGCGGCCTTGGAAGTCCTGTCCCTGCATACCCTCCGGCATCGCATCCCCGTCTATCAGTGGAGCACAGCATGCACAAGTCATCATGGTATTCATAGCAATTACCACACACTTCTCTTCCGCAGCCTTGGCACGCAATCATCATTTCTGCTTGTCTAACACACACGGGGCACCTTCTAATCCTAGTCTCTTCCCCCAACAAACCTCCATCTCCCTGCCTATCCTTTCTTCCATGCTCTCTTCTATCCCCAAAAGAACTTGGCGCAGGCGTGGCACCGGCACTTGGTCTTGCGGAGCCAGCGTTCGAAGCACCTCCCGCACCCGGTGCTGGCATGGCGTACTCGGAGCTTTGCTTGCCGATCTCACCGATTCTATGCCACATGCTATCCAGCTCTGCTTTAAGGCTATCGTTTCGTTTCACCTGCTCCAGTCTCCGTTCATATTCCCGTACCATTGCCTCCAACTGCTCGTTCTTCTCCTTGAGTTCTATCATTTCTCTACCTCGGAGATCAAGATCCGCTCTCATTTTAGATATCTCATCTCTACTATCCCGAACCATCCGCGCTGCCGACTCTGTCACTCCTTTGTTCTCCCCCTTCATGCTTTCTATCTCACTAAGCAGGCTAGCGTTCTCCCTCACGATCCGCTCATTCACAGTGGTCAACCCCTGCAATTGACTAGTGATCTTGGTCACCTGCTGTTCTAACACAATGCATCTATTCTCAATCCTTCGATCTACCACTGGACCTGCCGACTCCGGCCTCGAAGTCTCTATTCCTCGGGCGTTGTCGCTCCTGGCTCTTCCGTCGGCTCCCCCACTCCCACCATGACTATCTCGTCCGCGTGACATGGTCGGTGGCTTTCCTATCTCCGCACTGTTTCCTCGCATCTTGCCTACCCCTTCGTTCCGTGCGCTCTCATCAATTCGAGCATTGACAAGGATAAATTCGCCCGTGACTCTCTTCTGTTCATCTATCATACGGCTCGACATTGACTCCATTGTCTTTTCCATCTTTCGCACGGTATCCTTCACCCAGGCCTGTTCTCCGTTTCTCTTCTCATCCATCCGATCTGTCCTTGCCGCGACATTCTCGCAAGTCTTGTGAACCTTTGTCATGTTCGCCACAATCTCAGCCACGCTTTTGCGGTTCTTTATCACCTCTCTCGCGACGGTCATTATGTGTTCCTTCTGCGCCAGAACCACTTCACTCAGCTTCTTGGTTTCACCCCGCACTGCCCCATCTATGCACGTGCCGTGACCCTCGCCAGGTTCCCTGCATCCGCATCCAGGACCTTTTCCTTGGCTGTTGCAATGTGACGACGATGCCGTATCTGTTCCGGCTTTCTGGCTCCCCTTGGACTTCAGCTTCCTTAGTTCCTCGCCCGCTATCTTGATCTGGTCCCACTGTCTATTCAAAACCGTCTCTACTTTATCCAGTCTCTCGTTCTTCCATGTTCCATTCTCGTGTCGCATTTGCATGCTCGAGAAGACTACACCTATGCCACGTCTCACCTCGTTCAATCCTGTCTCTAACGTGGTGATCTTCGTCCCGGTACTCTGTTTGGCTATGTCCGCTGAATGCTCCGCTGTGGACAATCGCTCCTCCACTCCCTTCAATCTAGTCGTAACAGAGGTCTTGAGCACCTTCACGTTTTCAACCTGCCGTCTCATTCTCCGTGCGAGCTGCATTGCTCCCTCGGTCAGTTGCGGAGCCATTGCATCATCCATCCTATCCTCGCTGACGCTCCCGTCCATGATCCGACTCATCTCTTTCAGCTCCTGCGACAGTGTTGTCTTGGTATCTATCTGCTGCGATTCTATCCAACCCTTCCAGTGCTTCACCTCCTCCTCGCATTCCACCAATCTCTTGCTCACGACGTCCGCCTTTTCCGCTGAGCTATTAGCAATTGCACTTGCACATTCGCTTGCCACCTTAAGCTTGGCTACGTCGGTCTGCGTGTCCACAACCACCGTCTGCAAGTCATCTATCCTGCCATCTATCTCTCCCAACGACGACTTGTCCGGATCAGCAGGAGCTCTCATCTTTGCCCGCCTGGGTGGGGATGATGTTGCCCTCATTTCGTCGTTCCTGCCTCGTCCTTCAGGAGGAGTATCGATCCCGAAATGCTCGTACTGCCCACCTATCCCAGGAGATCGTGGAGCCGGGGATCGATTGCCCCATCCTTCGCTACCCTGATCCGGGGTGATCATTCCTGCCTGATGGATCGGTCCCCCAATTTCTGTCGATTTCGACTTCTTCGCTGCGGGGACGCTCTCGGCTATCTGGTTCATCTCCTTAACGGCCTGCTCCGCTCGTTGCTTACGCAGTCCCTCATCCGTCTTGCCTATCTTGCTGGTGGTACCAACTCCATTTTCCGATCCACCCGGGCTATCCCTCTTCAATGATGTAGATCGACCACCTGAGTGCCCACTATCCGACCCCATCGACATCTTTCGTGACCTGTCTTTCTCTACCCCTGCGATCTCGGCACCATATATCCCAGCGTTCCACCGTTCCTGCGAATCCGATTGCATCGTCATGGGCGTTGATCCAGGCTCTCCTGGCCCCTGATCTGTGAAGAACTTCGCAAAGTCCATGTCAGTGATGACCCCCGTTTCCTCGAGCGTGCTCCGGATTCCATGGGATCCCCACTCTATTCCGATCGTCGTAGTCTGACCCATCCCCACATCTTTCAACGCTTCAATGTTCCCGCCTGGTGATGCCTCCGAGAGACCCGTAGATGAAAATACAGACAGTGCTCTATCATCGCTCTCACTGACCACGTTCTGCGCTACCGCTGACGATCCCTTAGCTATCAACTCCAGGTCTGTAGGATCGGCACCGACATTCCCAATCATGGTCGCACTATTCGAATACACTCCTGGAACGAGATCATCTCCATTCCCTCTGCCCATCCAATGTCCGCTATCCGCACTTCTCGTTCGATCGCCCTCCGCACCGAGCTCGCCACTAGGCATCATCGCATCTATTCCATCATCATTCCTCCTGATCGTCCTATCATGATCTGACGATGATGACACTGCAAGACTATCCACTCTGTCCTCGATCGCCATTTCTAACCTGGAACCAGTGATTCCCTTGGCACCTCCCGTTGACTCGTAATTCGTCCCGTGGGACACAGG